GGGGTGCATATAGAGAGCAGAGGATAACCAGCAGGAGCGGGTTCTCCCCTTCCACCACAGGGGTCCAGGGGAGCCAACAGGCGGTCAGGCTTGGTAGCAAGCAACCTTACCTAGCTCTCCAGCCCCTTGGCTTGACTTTTTTGAGACACGATCTCACAGTCTGTAGCCCAGGCTGGCCTCAAACTCTGCACTGCAGACTGGCCTTGAAGATCCTCTTTCCCAGCCTTGCAGGTGTTGGGGATCCCCCCCAGCTGTTTCTCTGTCTTCGCCTGTTTTCTCCATCTCGGTTCCTCCCCCTGTCTCTGTGCCTCTCTGCTGTTTCCTGCCACAGACTCACCTGTGTCAGGGGATGCTGCTGAGTGAAAGGCACACACACTTGTGCACACACACGCACTCCTGGGGCTCTGCGGCAGATGGAGGGAGGGGTCTAGGTGAGCTTGAGTGCCCATCAGTGAGTCAGGGGCTCCCTGGCCTTTCATGGACGGGGACCTCAGAAGAGGACAAAGAGGAGTAATCCTAACTGTTCACTAACCCCACCTTCCCTTCCCACAGACAACCTCATCCCCCTGGACCTGACGGAGATGCACAGCTGCCCTGTCCATCACCCGGCCGCCAGGACACCCACCTGTCCCCTCACTTGGATAAATGTCTCGTTTTGGAGCACTGCCTGCCTGTCTGGTTAGGGGCCTGAATGGGTGAAGGAGATTGATACAAGCTTCCTGCCAGACCAAGCCACCTTTGATCTTGGAGGCCCTTGAGCCACAGGGGATATAGGACCCCAACTTCTCCCTGGCCCTCCACCGGGGGCACCAGGGAGGTGAGAGGCTCTTGAGTGCAGACCCACCCAGCCCAGACTTCCATTAGGGTAGTCTGATCTTCCAAGAAGAACAGACACGGGGGGCCACTGGACTTGCAAGATATTTACTGAGGGGGTGGTCCTTACAGAGGGTAGCATTGATGCAGGATGCTTGTAAGACTAAGAGGAGAGAAAGGGCTGATTGGCAGGCCAAGTCTGAGTGCAGAGGACACACTTCCAGGGAAAGGCGTGGCCAGTGGGGACTCCGGGACGGTGCAGGTCCTTGCTGGACGATGCCCGTACTCTCCTTATTTATTTATTTTTAATGTGCATTAGGGTTTCACCATGGGGGTCAGGTCCCCTGGAACTGGAGTTACAGAGAGCTGTGAGCGGCTGTGGGGGTTGCTGGGAATTGAACCCAGGTCCTCTGGCAGTGCAGTCCGTGCTCTCAACCTGTCTCCAGCCCCAAGCCCATACTTTTCCGTACCCACTCAGGCATTGGTGCTGGGGGGGCAAGAGAAGTGTGAGAAAAGGGGCTTGTCAGTCAGAGGTGCTCCCCGAAATAGGACAGCTCAGGACACCTTCCCGTGGATATGCGTGTCTCTGGTCCCCCAATGACCCCTGTTGCAAGCTCGCTTCATTCTAGTTCCCACAAGCTCCCTCGCCCAGAACTACCTCCGGTCCACTTCCCCAGGTCAGACCCACGCCAGGTGTCCCCAGAACTCACTCAGACCAGAGCTTCCCTACGCTCAGTTCACAGCCCCCGATCATAACCACCCCGTGTTCCCACTCAGTCCTTACCCGGTGAGCTTTCTCAAACACACATGCGGCAGGGTTCCCATACAGCCCCCGGCTCCCCACCGGGTCTCAAAAGAAGACACACATTTATATGCCATGTCTGTATTGAGGGGTGCTACAGAGTCGCCCCTAATCGTCATCTCCTCCCTCGGTGTCGTCTCCGCCTTCTGTAGCTTCCGCTTCAGTGGTCCCTGAGGGCTCTGTCCCCTCCATGGGCACCGAGACAGTCGTGGTAACCGTGGGTGACTTCTTGCTTGATGGTCGGTCCTTAGACAGTAGGGAGACTGTTCGTGACAGGTCGCATTTCCCCTGTAGAAAGTGTGGCAGGTGCAGCATGTCTCGGCGCTTGGCCCACCTGGCGAGGAGAGCGTACGTGCTGCCTGAACCCCCCTGCGCGCAGCCTGAACCCCCTGGGCCTTCTGTGGAGAACCAGGCCTGCCGCCTGCCGGCCTGCCGGCCTCCCCACCCACCACCGCACTCACCAGAAGAGGCAGATACTGGCGATCAGGAAGAGCAGGCTGCCGCAGGTCCAGCCCAGTGCCCACATGTGCTTCCTGCGCATGTTTTCTAGAAAAGGGGGAGGGGGAAGGTCCGGGGATGCAGCAGCTGTGCCATCTCGCCCTCTGAACCACCCCGTTTCCGGGCCGGGCCACTCACCGTCTGGCCGCTGATGGTAGCACACACCATCCCGATAACAGCATCGCAGGCGCAGGCAGAGGTTGGGGTTCTCAATCGCTGCCTGGCCCCCACAGCTCTCTCGGTCCCACACATCTCCCTCGCAACCTGAGGGGCACCACAGTAGGCGTTAAGTGGCGGACCTGGCCCTGGAGGCTACAGACGCAAGGGTGCCAAGGCCAGGCTGTGGGGCTGGGGTGCAGTGTTTTGGGGGCACTATTCTATATGGGACCCATCTCTCCTCCCTCAGCCCTGGGCCTCCAGACCCCAGCCCTCCTCCCTCAAACCCAGGGGTCAAGGCCCCAGCTCTCCTGACTCAGACCTCAGACCTAGGGTTCTAGGCCCCAACCCTCCTCCAGAAGCAGGGATCAAAGCTCTAGCCCTCCTCCTTTATAATCAGAGTTTTCAGACTCTTCATCTCCTCCCTCAGACCTAGAGGTTGAGTGTCCTGATCTTCTGCCTCAGATCTAGGGGTCCAGGCCTTAGCACACACACACACACACACACACACACCCCATACCCAGGGTTGAGTCCCCTGACCTCTTTCTTCAGGTCTGAGGAGGTCTGACCCTTAGCCCTTCCCCCAGACCCGGGGATCAGGCTCCAGCTCTCCCCCCTCAGACCCAAGAGTCCAGGCTTCAGCCCTCCTTGAGACCCAGAGGTCGAGACCCTAGCATTGCCCTCCTAAGACCCAGAGGTTATGTTCCAACCCCCCCCCCCACCTCAGACCCAGGGGCCCACATCCCAGCCCTTCCCCCTCAGACCCTGCAGTCTTAATTTGGGATACCCTCCCTGGAGCCCCAGGATTTTGTCCCCTGCTTACTCCATGGATAGAAAAATCCCTGGATTCCATTCGCATCTGTGGGAGGAAAGGGGTGATGTTGGGAGACTATAAGGCAGCCAGGGTGGCCCTGTCCACAGCCCCCCGATGTCCTTATCAGTACCCTCACCTACTGAGCCCTGAATCAGCAGGAGAAGGCCCAAAGCTGCGATCCCAGACCCCACCATGTTACCTCCCCAGACCTCTGGGGCCTCTGTGGAGAGAAACCTTGAAGGACATCACCCTAGCAACAACTGGGCCCCGCCCCAAAGCCTCAGCCCCAGAATTCTTAGTTCTGTTGCCAGGGAGTCCCCTCAGCAAGGGGTTCATAAGGAGGGGTGCCCTGGCCCCATCATTTCTGTCTGGGGAGTAGCTCCCTTAGCATCTATGGAGAAGAGGTGGGTGGGCATTGGGAGATTTCAGATTCAGGGTCTTCTCGGCAAGGGAAGAGGGAAGGAGAAGCCAGGACCAAGCCCGGGCGGGGCTGGAGATGTCTCTCCTGTTCCATGGGGTACTTGACAGGGTACAGATCTGGGACAGGGGAGATCTCCGAGCTGCAGAATCCCTCTTTCCTAACCCGGAGTCCAAAGAGGCAGCCGCCTCAAGTGGCCCAAGTTCAGAAATCCTCTTTGCTGGGATGTCCTTTCTTTTAGCAACCAGGAAAACTGGCCCCAGGACACTGAGGTTTCATTGAGCCCCATTGTTAGAAAAGGTTTCCCCAGCAACCAGATCAGGAGGAGGAAGGGGCAGTGGGGGCTTGTGGGGTGGCCCTGGGCGTCTCATCTCAGGCTGTCCCTGTCTGCGGGACTGACTGACCATGCCTGGCCCCGCTGAGCTTGAGGTGCGGACACTGTTGGAGCTGTGAGGGTGACTCCTGACAAAGAGACTCAGTTTCCCCATCTGTGAATGAGGGAACACAAACTAGGGCGTCTCGAGTTGTTTTCTTTGTGGTTGGTCTACCCAAGTCTGCTGAGGGACCAGGCAGGCTTCCAGGAAGCCAGATTTGGGGGGGGGGTGCTATGTCACCGCTTCCTAGTTCACCTGGGCTCGGTGTCCACTTGGCATAGTGAGAAGGGGACGTCAGTTCCTGAGAGAGGTCTGGACTCAGCCCTGGACTTGTGCAATGCCTGGGGCATGGACCTCTGGGTCTGGGGGCAAGGGGGTGGGTGAGGAGGACTGGAAGATGGGATTCCTGGGTCTGAGGGAGCGACGAGGTCTGGGGAAGGGAACCCTGGGTCTAAAGGAAGAAGCAAGGCTGGAGTTTGGGCCCCTGGGCCTAAGTGGGACCAGGAGTCTAAGGAGGACTAGGTCCTGATCTTGATCTGAGGGAGGAGAAATGGGGATAGGACCCTGGGTCTGAGCAGGGAGAGCTAGGTCCTGGGCTCCTGAAGCTTGGGGATGAACCCCTGAGTCTAAGTAGGGAGGAGGCTAGATCCTAGACTCCAGGATTTCAAGAAGGGGGGCTCCCAAAGTCTGAGAGAGACGTGTTAGGGTCTGGACCCCTGGTTCTAAGTCAGTCTGGGCCTCCTGGACTCCAGATCTGAGGGAACAGGGCTGGGACCTGGGTTGTCCATTCTGTGGGAGGGAGGGGTCTGAGTTCAGACCCTGTTTCCCAAGAAGCCTGCGAGGCTGAATCCCTATCCCTTTCATCCCCGGGTCCTCCAGTAAACATCCTAGAGGGTGCTGAGTGGGTCCTGGGCTGACTCCGTCAGAGATGACACAGGTCGGAGGGGGCTCGGCAGGGGGTATGGGGGTGGGGGTCAGAGGGGTTGTGGGGCTGAGGCCGGGCAGCTGCTGACCGTTTCCTGTGTCAACACCATCTGGACCCACTTCCCAATTCCCTGGATTCCTCAGGGATCAAGGAGGGGGTGGGGGGTGGGGCTGCCTGGCGCTGGACCGCGGATTGGGATTGGGGGGGGGACACCGTCAAGGCCCTCACCACTAATGACAGGTTTGGGCTGCCTCTGTGGCTGACCTGCCCCGTCACCCCCCCAGAGGCCAGACAGGACCCCCCAGGGACAGACAGACGGACACACACAGCCTGGGATGTGCTGACATCACACCCAGCCAGCACCAGCTCACCCAAGGGGCCAGCACACCATCAAGGCCCCCCGGCTAGACCCTCACATCCTAGGGACACCTCAAATGCCTCTGAGCCCTCCGAGGTCTGCTCTCTGCCTCCTCTTTGTTTTTGAGTACTCAAGCTGGTCTCCCGAGCACTGCTCATCTTTTCTTGCATCTGCCTTCTTGTCGCGGGGCTTTGAGATCCTGTTTGTGTTGCTTGCCTCTGTCTTCCGTCATTTGGGGGGTTCCCAGAGTCTCCCACCCTATCTGTCTCTGTCTTTGTCTCACTTCCACAGGACTGGTATTCCTACCCTCACCAAAGGAAGACCCAGGAGTCCCAAGTCCACTCCTCAGTCCTTTTGTGGTCACCCTGGGGAAGATGAGTCTTTCCCCACAACCCCCGGGGTGAAGAGTGAGGCAGGACTAAAAACTAGCAACGGCCCATGACCCAGACCCACAGACGTCCTCAAGCACAAAGGTCCCCCAATTGTTGGACATCAGAATTTT